GAGGGAAAGGAAAGGAAAGGAATAGAAATAACTTAGGCTGAGTATCATCCCTGCCCCCTGCCAAAATGGAATGCAGCTGGAAAAAAAAAATAAAGAAATATATAGGGGCAAAAAAACACACAAACAAAAAAACCCAACAAATTTATGCTTGCATATCTAGTGATAAACTAGCTTTGGTCTTAATGGTCAGTCTTTTATATCAATATGGCTAAGATTTAATAATTCCATTAATAAATATTCTATTATAGATAGTGATAAAAGTATGAATTTTGCTATGCTCCCAATCTCAGTTACAATTCAGAAGATTATTTTCTATGATATAATTATAGAGCTTCGTGTACTATAGGAAACTGAAGATACACTTGAAGGAAAAATAGAATGATATAATAATAACTTACATTTTATATGTATAATTATTCCAGAGAGAAAGCTCCATTATCAAAATAGCTACTACTGTCAATGTACACAGTCATACAAGTAGAAAAGAATCTACAAATGATACTCATAAAAAATGCCTTAATGTTCTTTACAGAGGTATAACTTTTAAAAATACAAAGATTGGCCTGGCCAGTGTGGCTCTGTGGTTGAGCATCTATGAACCAGGAGGTCACAGTTTGATTCCCAGTCAGGGCACATGCCCAGGTTGCAGGCTAGATCCCCAGTGTGGGGTGTGTAGGAGGCAGCAGATCAATGACTCTCTCATCATTACTCTTTCTATCTCTCTCTCCCTTTTCCTTTTTCTATGAAATCAAGAAAAATATATGTAAACAAAAAATACAAAGATAAGAACTCTGGCTGGGTATCTCAGTTGGTTAGAGTGTTGTCCCCATATACGAAGGTTGTGGGTTTGATCCCTGGTCAGGGTACATACAAGAAGCAACCAATGAATGCACTGATAGGTGGTGCAAAGAATCAATGTTTCTCTCTCTCTCTCTCTCTCTCTCTCTCTCTCTCTCTCTCTCTTTCTCTTAATGTGGGAAATTATGTGAGAGCCATCTCACATTTATTTAATTGATACATTGCAGAGGGTTGGGGGGTAAGCTAAACCTGAACACATTACCAACAAAGGGTTAACATTTCATAATTTACTGAGAAGTATGAAGGATGAAGGAGGGAATGAGGTCAAAATAAGGGGGCAAAGATTAGCTTTCCCAGTCATCCAGTCATGAACAAAGGAAAACAAAATAGATTTCAACAAACACCAGAGTTCAACTACAGAAAATAGGGTGACCAAGGACAGAAATTTGAAAGAGTAAAAGTTCACCTGAGGACAATGTTCTCTCTATAATGAAGTTACAAAGAAACAGTTTAGATACACTACAAATAATACAAGGAGGTCCTTCAGATGAAAAGTTCTTATTTTCAGGTACTTTTACCTTCAGGAGTAGCAGGATTCAAGATAGGATAAATGACAAAGTTTCTGCAATTAATTTATAGTGAAAAAAACCTGAAAGCTAGGAAAGAGCAACATCAGAACTTTAACATCTTAGGAGACTAGAGAATTCTTACTCTCAAACAGCTTAATTACAAATTACAATAACAGAATAAAATATCAGTATTGGTATTTCAGTATTTATTTTGCTTAATACCCCATGTTAAATATTGTGTCCATCATTTTTTTTCCTAAACTTTGCCCTGTTGCTGTTCATACTAATAGATCCAAGTATGAGGTTACACTGTCTTTCCCACTTCAGCCTCTTGGAGAAGTCAGGCTCCAAGATAATGGAATTAACTTTGAAGTATATTGGAAATCTAGCCCTGATGAAACGAAGATTGTTGATTCTAGGATAAGGACTGGGAATTAGACCTGGGAACCTCACTCTCCTCACTCTTCCTTCTCTTTCTTCATTCTTCCACTACACTGTCCTTCAGTGTATGTCTAGTCCTCCCAGACTAGGAGAACTCAAAAGTGACCTCTGGAAGGAGAATACCGAAGAACAAAATTAG